GGTTTTCCATTAGATGGGAAATAAATACTATTAGCCCACACGAAATTTATGAATAAGTGATTGTGTGATAATAAACAAGGAATATACTCCTTTCTGTTAATATTATAATTTATATGTGATAATTAATTTAATATTATAATTTATATCTCATTATTAATTTTAAATTTTTATTCCAAGTTTTTGTCCTACCTGTCTTTATTCTTCTTAGGGGATAAACAATTTTTTTTGCCTTGATATTTTCTTTTTCACTACCGTTTGAACCGCAGAAAGCATTTTTCAAATCTTTTCTTATCAATTTTCAAGTGGATTAAGTTAATAGCTTTTTTAGAAGTGTGACGTCAATTTCTCAATAGATATGAAGTTGTTAACGATTTTGTTTTACAAAAAGTTTTTTAGTTTGGATTATAAAATTATTTTAATACAATCTTATTTATTGAGAGTTTATTTTTACCTTTTTTTAACGTGAATGGTGTTTTTTTGTGTAGTTTAAATTAAAAAAATTATTCTCTTTATTTAAAATTTTTAATAAAATAAAAAAGCATTATTTTATAATTTAAAATTTTTTAAACTATAGAATAAATATTTTTAAATAAAATAAAATCTAATAATATAAGAAATTTTTTTATTTAAAAATAAAAAAAAATTTATTTAAAAATTAATATTTTATTATTTAAAACAATTCAAATTATAAAATATTTTTTTATAAAAAGTAAAACTTTATCTATTTTTTTTTTCCTCGAGTAAAATAATTATAAGAAGAAAAATTTTTGCGAAAAGAACAGGCCTGGCCTTTTCTCCTTAGTGATGACAGCTGCTCCTCGCCGGAGCGAAATTATCAAGCCCACGCGCGGATGTCGTTTAGAAAGTGATGTGGATTCCATTTTTTTCCTTTTTCTTTTTTTGTTTTATAATAAAGTGGTATGGATTTTTTTTAGAAGTGTTATTATTAATGGACTGAAAATGATATTTTTATTATTAATGAGAAAAAAGGTAGCATGATTGATAAGAAAGTTTAATATTTTTTTTAGAAGTGGTATGGCTAAATTTCTTTAAAAAGGATAATAAAAAAAGTAATCTTTGATAAATTCAATAATTTAGTATGATAACTTACCCTTAAATTCACAACAACAAAAAAATTAATAAGAAATTATTATGACCACTAATGAAATTGTTGAGGTCACTAATATTTTATTTTTATTTTATTAAATTACATTTTTACCCATATCTTTTTAACTTGCCCTCAACTTTTGTCTTTTTTGTCTTTTTAATGAATAAAAAGATAATTTACCAAACAAAAAATAAAGTATTTGTGACCTTAATAATGTTTATGGTGGTAATAACCGGAGCTCATTTAACATGGTGCACCAAACCTAGCATTTGATAGCATCTAATCATTATAACAAAAACTATTACAGTAATCAAAATTATGGGAATTTAGTAACCCGATAAAAATGGAAAATGTGTAATATACCAACAGACCATCAAAGTTTTATACTTTTTTCAATTTAGCCCTATAGTCTTTTTTTGTTCAATATATGCTCAAATCTTTTAATTAGTGAATCAAACCAACATGCTTTATTTAATTAATTAGACCTGAATTGGACGATCAAAGATGAATGATGTTACTCTTTTATTTATTAAGAACAAAACTTCTAGTATAGGAATGTTAGAAGAAACATTGAGAAGACTCTCTTACCTTCAGAGTACTACCAATAATCCTTGTAGTCAATTCATTGAGAATGTTAGTCCTCTATGGAGTTGGAAAACCCTAGTGCAGTCTAACAAAGCACTCATTTTGTTTCTTTTTCCTAAAATAGGCTAAGAGGTTAAAATTGAAATCTACTTTGTTGAATTCATTATGATGTAAATCGAATAACTTCAAATATCATAACTAAATAATATACCAAAAATAGTTAACACATTTGTAACTCTTGTTTAAAGATAAAAACATGATGATACTTTTGTGAACATGTGTAAATTCAACTAAGATCCAACTGAAGAAACATGTATTTCACATGGACTTAACATTTCATATTTTTGTTTTAAATATTTGTGGAGCCACTCAAGAGTTGACCTTAAACTCATAAGCGTGATGGGGGAACATGTACTGACCCTCCTTATTTGACTCACAATCTTTTTTGACCTGACTCACGCAACTCCACTTGATATACACTAGTATGACCCAAGTAAATGAATAAATCATCTAAATATTAATTTTTCAAAATATTAATTACATTAGGAAAATCGATAAAGACTAATTTTTTTTTATGGAGGTGAAAATTAATGATGAGTAAAATAGTAAATTTATTTTTTTTATAATAATCAAATTACTTATTTTTTATTTAATTTTTACCTAAATTTTGATTAAATAAATAATTTTATATAATAATTGAAAAAAAATTCTTTTCATACTAATTCTTATTAAGTATTTTTACTTAAATAAAAAAATTAATAATAATTTATTTATCATATAAATTTATTTAATTAATTTATATAAAATTAAAAAATTAAAACAATTAAAAAAATAAGGGAGAGTATTTCCCAACCATGTACTGAATTGCTTGACATTAGTCTATACGCGCCGGAACGGAGCGTGGTCCGTTTTGGTCATAATGAACCTAAAAACTAAAATATGGTGACCTATTTGCCGTGCATTACAACTACAAGTAAATATATGGGGATGTTTGCTGGAACTTAAAATGTAAATTTAATTTAGAAGAATTCTTTTCAAAAATTTGAAAATTTAAAAACTCAAAACTTTTAAAATTTGATTAAAAATTACTCTATTCATTTATTTTTAGTAATTTTAATTCCATATTTTAATTTTTTAAATATAAATTTTAAATAAAAATTTAACATATTATATAAATAATAATTAAATTTTTTTTAATTAAACAAAAATATTAGATAAAAGTTTTCTATAAAAAATTTGTTAATTATTGTTTTAAAAAATTATTAAATTTTTGTTTAAAATTTATATCTATAAAAATCTAATTAAAATTATTAAAAAATTTTATTGGAAACTTACCAAAAGCCACTCAACAAAGTCTTTTATTTTTTAGTTTAATTTATATTAAACTACAAAATATAAATACTTATATAAGAAAAGATTTCAATGTTAAAAAATTTATTTTTATCATTAATAAATATATAATTTAATACAATATATGCTGCATAATAGTTGTTTGTAGCCCACTCATGTATAAGAAGTTGAGAACCCGAAAATAAAAAATTTAGGAGTAAATAAAAAACGTTAAATTAAAAAGAAAAGAAAAGAAAAGGAGAGAACCCTACCCTACCTTGAGTTTTACCTTTCTTCCGAAGCTCTCATCATAAATCATATACAACCCACATAGAAAGCCACTGCAAAACCTTCTTCGAAATTTGAAGCAACCATGAAGCTCAAGAAGAAAGTATACCCATCTCCCTCTCCCTCCCCCTTCCCCTCCCCCTCCTCCGCCGGAGACCATCTCTCTGTTTTGAAGTTCCTCCCAGCTGCCATTCTTGCTCTCGCTTCGGTTCTCTCCCTCGAGGACCGTGAGGTTCTGGCTTACCTGATAACCACGTCGTTGAAGACCACCACCACTACCACCAACGACCCATCTTCGATTCTGCAAGATGCCAAGAGAAAATCGTCCAAGAAACCGCTAACAGTGGGCAGTGCAACCGGAAATACCAAGGGGAACTCTAGACATAAGCCGCCGGTGTTCGATTGCGATTGTTTTGAATGCTACACCAGCTACTGGCTCCGCTGGGACTCCTCCCCCAACCGGGAACTCATCCACCAAGTTATCGAGGCTTTTGAGGATCACTTGAGCAACGGCGAAACCCAGAAATCGAAGAGCACCAGAAACAGGAAGGGCCGTCGGAGTACCGATAATCCACCCCTCGAGCTTCCACCCGAACCCGAACCCATCATGACAGGTTCTGCAATTTCTTCCCCTGAACAGCCATCGCCGCCCCGGGTTATCGATGAGCCGCTCCCGGAGAAAGAAACTGAAGAACAAGCTTCTGAAGTCGCGGACATGACTTCGGAGTTCGATGTTTCAGCGGATGATGAGGTCGCGGTTCTACCAACGGCGGCGGCGGCGGCGGCGGCAAGCAACCACAAGGGGTTGGCGAGGAAGGTGCTGCCGGACGTGTTAGGTATATTTAATTCCCGTTTATGGAATCTCTGGAGTCCAAATGTCTAACTATTTTCCCTGTGAATTTTTTGAGTCCTTCAAAATGGATAAAAAAAAGTATATATTTTTTGGGGTAGTATCTATCTCAATGGATGAATGAATGCAATTCCTTTTCTGCCTCGATGTCCTTACTTGCAATTATTAATTTTTATGGGGAAATTTTTGAAACATGTTTTTCTCTTAATAAATAGAAAATTTGTATTAATTATTTTGCTTAGGGATTAAGTTTTGTGATTATGTAATAGATTTTGGGATGGACCATTCAAAAATGGGATATTTTGATGCTTATTAAAGAGATTATGTCATGACATTATAATACCGGAAAATTTGCATTATTGGTCCTGCTTTATTCTAATGGATGTCGAAAGGACGCGACTATTCATGCTTTTTTTTTTTAACCTGTTCTGGCTGGATTACTTTGAAGCATTAATTATGGAAACTGTACAAAAGTATACTTTAGAGATTAAAATTATTAAATATTATT